TAAAATTCATCAAGGCACTTTTGTTTACGTATTCTTATTTTATTAGTAAATTGCTATTTAGGGATTCAGCTTGCAAGCCAATGCTCTTATCTTAGTCTTAATGCTGGGCTATGGGCAGAATGTTGATACGATACACTGGGTGACACTACCGACATTTTCACTCATTAGACGTTCAAGTCTTCCGTACATAGTAAGGACCTCTTTTTAGCCTCTAAAAAGCCTCTTCAATATCTCCAGCTCGATTTTAACCTAGCACTTCACCCGTGGGGTTTTAGAGGAGTACATCGATACGATGTCGATCCTTTGAGGGTAGGTGTAAGCAATTCACTAGGGTAGCCGCCAATTTACAAGTGATTACTTCATCAAGAGATGTCAAAGTTGATCGATATAAGCTAAGGTTAACAATTACCTCCTTAGCATTCCTCTTCTCTGGATTTTATTGTCTTTTAAGCAAGATATTCTTGAGGCCGAATTGCACACTTATATTCATTAATCTAAGTGTCTTATTCTCCTGCGAGTTAAACAGAGGTCATATTCGACTTCCATTTTGAGCTTCCTTTATACTATATGCTGAAATTTTCTAATACTTTGTTAAATGCTATATAGAAATTGCATATGACCATAAATAAGCGTGTATGATAGACAACCTTCTCGCATACCCCAGCTTTTGATTTCATCCCTTACAATCTACTGCTTTAGTTATTTCCATTTATTGCGTACACTTTATGGATGCTGAAGGAGTGATCAAAATATGGCTTTTAATCACTATAGGTGCTCTATATTTAGGGATTTTACCATCATTAAAATGACTTCTTTCAGTTTATACTACTGGCATCTTTAGATTTTTGACTTCATGGTCAATCAAGGCAAATCGGTCGCTTTCTGGTTATCTCACACTTAACTTATCAGTGAAATCTTGAGATTCCTTTCTATGTGATTAACGAAAATTTTAGGTATTGAAGCCTTTCGGGATGATGTTGTATCTCTTTCGGTCCTGCAAAGCTTCCTGAATGCCAACATCGTTGTGGATTATACATTCATGTAAGTTCTAGTACTTTCCGTTCGTTTTCCTTATTTTTTGCTCCTATCATTTATGTACATATGCCACTTTTAAGATCTACTTTGCACCCTTTTTAGCATGATCCAAATAAGAATGGCTTTGATTTAAAGCTTAGTAGTCGTGCTTATTTCGTTGAAATCTGTCGAACACTCAGTACGCTGGTGAATTTCATATAGTCTTGTTTTCTAATCCATGCTGAACTTGAATTTCACTTTCACTTGGGTCTCGTCATCAACTAACAGTCATTCATTACCTTAAAGAAATACATTTCATCATCAAGTTGTCTTTTGACCAGGAAAATGGCTACACCTCTTTAGTTTCATAAAGTCAAAAGCAGTGGTAATTTTTAAGAAAAGTCGAACCCCTTCCATTCCACACTTATTATGGGAATAGGTTTTGACTAAGTAAACTCATGTATGAGTTGTATTCACTCAATTTCGTTTAAGGTAATGAAGGACTGGTAGCTGATTTTTCCCACAATTCTATGAGTAGAGCCTACGTCTTTATTGAATTCCACATAGCCCTACCTTTTCAAAAGGTGTTCTCATCCAGGATGGACTGCAGTTTCGACCTCGAATATGTCTTATAAACATCCCAAGCGGAAGTCGAACCATGACACTACAGCGTTTAAGCTAGAAAAGTTAATTACTAAGCCGCGTTGCCACAGGTGCCCTTGGGTCACAGGGCAGAAGACAATTTCAAGGAATGCCAGGCATTTTCTATATCACATTCTGTGTTGGGGTTGTCGATGAAGCAAACTTATATTTGCTATAGCAATAAACGACGTTACTTGTTTCGTAGTCGAGTAGGTTTTCGAGACTGCCAATAAATCAGATATATGGGTTGTATTCACCCTATTTCCTTCAAGCTAAGAAAGGACTGGTGTTCTTATCCAAAGTGTCGTCGATTGCTAAAGCATATATAAGTTTGCTTCATCAACAATCCTAAAATAGAATGTGATATGGAAAATGCCTGACATTCCTTGAAATTCACTTCTTATCTGTGACCTAAGGAGATTCGTGGCAAATTGGCGTAGTGACTAACTTGTCGAGCTTGCACGCTGCACTCTCATGGTTCGACTCCCGCTTGGAGTGTTCATAAAACCTATGCGAGGTCGAAACTACAATATACCCTGGATAAGAACACCTTTTGGAAAGGAAATGGAGACGTCAGCTCTACTCATATAATTGTGGGAAAAAACAACTACCAGTTTTTAATCACCTTAAACGAACTAGAATTTATACAATTGATATATCTGATTTACTGGTACTCTCAAAAACCTACTCACATACGAAAAAAGTGAACTCTTGCTTGCCTTTAACTTCGATAATTCCATTGGGGAGAAATTCATTTGTGTTCTAAATAAAAAATATTCATCAAAAAAGATGATCAACCTAGTTCACTAATAGAGAAAAGGACTGTTTTTTTATCTACCCCTACTAAAATGTTTTCTCACGTATGAGTTTGCCCGTAGTTCTTATAAAAGCTCTACTGATTTTTTCGAAACCTACTCAATAGCCTACTGATAGCCTTATTTCCAAAAGAGCTTTTTTTATCTTTTGGGTTCAAATGAATTCCCTTCTGAGAAGGCCTTACGTTTTACTCCTATATATTACTTTGTTTTATCAACTTCTGTGCTCACTAGTATTAAGTGGAGGAGATTTTACTTTTTATATAAGTCGGCTACTTTTTTGCTAACTAACTAGCGAATGCAGGGAAATGGTAAACTATTCTTGAAACTTTAAAAAGAGCCAGACGAAGTTGAAGGTGCAGACCACTCTGGATGGATGCCCTTTAAGAGTAAAACGCAGTTCTTTTTCCAAACAGCTTTACTTAATCCTTTTTCAAATATTAGTAAAAAGAAAGTGTAAAGACCACAATGGTGTGGCCTTCTGTATGGTCTCAGTCTCATTTCTTTGTATAGTAGTTGTTTGACTTTGTTTTCACAAGTTAGTCATATTGGCAGGAAAACCTAGGGGAACGTATCTTGCATGATAATTTTCAGAGTTGGGTTGTGAACTTGGTACATTCCCAGACGTTTCGCCGCCACCATCAGTTAGCTTTGCTATTCTTAGCATCACACTACAACTTGTCAAAGAGACAAGTGAAGTTGATTATTTGACCAATTGTCTGCTAAGTTGTGGTATCTCCTGTTCTGGGCTATTCACCTGTCCTATATCCTCATATCACCCCTTCAATATCACAATTTTTTGTTTATCTAGACCTATTCGAAATCTATTCACACTCCCTGTTGGTTTCCTCATCCCTTCCGCTGGGCCGAGAGTGTTGATCCAAGACTGAGGTTTAATCCGCAATCCTATCTCTTTGGTTCCTTTCAGAGTCCCCTCTTGCTCGTAGGATCCTTCCCTTATCTTCCTAACTCAGTGATTTAACCCCATCGCTTCCACCGTATCCGTGCTACTTAAGGCGTTATTCTATACTCTACCTCAAGCCTTAGATATCACGTACACACCAGCCTTACTGAGTAAGCCCTTAAAGTCTGGATTCTAATTTGGCATGACAACCTAACTTGACGCTGCAGATTCCCTTATCGCTGTGCGGCATGTAAGTAAATCTTGTGGTCAAGCCTTTACGTCATGGCCCACGTCAATTAGCAAACTTATCAACTAATTTTGTTTAGGAATTCCTTCTGGCTCTTTCTTGCTATCACTTTTTATGTAAAAGTTCTGAGTGGATTCATTGGAGTCGGAGGACGATGCATTGAGGAGTACTACGCTTAGATCTACAACTACTTTAATTTATAACAACTCTACGGCGGTCTTCAGTTTTCTATTAAAATTGCCTATGCATTCATTTCATTCCATTTCTCTTATTGTATACAATGTATCCTTTTAAATCCAGTTTTAGAACCTTTATTGGTGGTTGTTAACTACTTTCAAAACAAAGCAGCGGCTAATGACTATACTTATCTGGATTACTGTTTAAGAAAGTAGACAGACCTTCAGAAATGGATGGGGTAGCGTGATGTGTTATGGTTTGCCCTTTGTGAAGAAAATTTACATGCAAACAAGCCCTCCGTCAAATTGTCTCTAAAAATATGTAAATGCACTATCTGTAATCAAATGTTATAGATATTCTCGACTGTGGTGTCATCGAAATGTCTCGTAATGTGCCCAGCCGACTATCTTATGCTCTAAGAATATATGATAACAATGGAAGAAGACGCAGTACATGTTAATTTATTTTTATTCATCCCTGAAGCCATTACTTAGTTGTAAGAATCAGGTCTAGCCAGCTCTATGTGGCGAAATAAGACTGCGACAAACCGAGGGCCTTCTTGATCTTCATATTTACTACATATCTAACGTTAAATTAATTTTCAAATATCCTTATACTTAATTTATTTTGTTATTTATAACTACTTGTTTGTGCAGGCCTAAAGACATGGATTCTCGAATACTGTACAGGGCAAATAAATGGGCGAATTACGCTATCCTTCTTCTCCAGGGGCGTGTTCTAGTTATGGTCAGTAGTGAAGGTCTGGTTTTCGAAGCCGGTCCCTTTATGCTTTTTGGAGAAACAGTGTTTAAGAGTAAGTCTCTTCTGCAGGAATATAATCATATTCTTGCTTTTGTTAAATATTTTTTGAGATTTATCTAGCCATCAATCAAACTCGCTACTCTCTTTTTATTAGCTGGATCAATTTTAATTAGCTTACTATGTATGCCAATATACTTTGAGAATGAGGTAATATAGATAAATCTATTCGCTTTTAATTTAAAGCCTATAATTTCGTAGTTTGAGTTCATCTAAGAAGGAGAGTTACTTCCCTGAAAAAATCTTTTGAAGCCTTTATTTACATTTTTCATGAACAACTGGCCTTATTGCCACAGGAGATCATTATCTAATTTATTTAAAGATATCATCATGGACTCACATATCCGTACTTGCTTGGAACTTGGTTCCAGAAATTTTATCTTGCTCTGTTCCAGCTTTGACAGTTACTCTCTTATTTAACTGTATACCTAACTCCGACAATGAAATCAAACAAAAGACTCGAAAGCAAACCCACATACATAAAAAGAGATCTCAAAGTTTAATGATTTTTACTTGTATTCTCCATTTACATCTGTTTTTCACTACTATTATTCTTTACTTCTCGTTCCAAAAACAGAAGTTAATGAGCTCTTCAGCCAGCTTTCTGATTCCACTGACCCCTCGATTCAATCCGCTAAATTGGCTACAGAAGCTCGATTTATGCCCGATTATACGGTTACTGCACAAACAAATCTTCAATACCTTCGCATCACTGCAGAGCACTATATGTTAGCTCGAAGACTGACTACTCTGCAACAGCGTTCTGGTAAGGCATGCTCAAATCGTATTATTTTGGCTTAACTCCTTTCCACTTATGGTTTAACTTGCAGTCATATTTTCCAAGCCTAGCTCCTATCTTAAGAGTTATATAATATTCCGATTTGCTTTGAGATGAATTCTGGCAACCATACGTCAATTTCCTATTGATTGTTCTCTGCTGTTTTTTGCCTTTAATGTAAGGATACTGTCTATCTAGTCTTGGATTCCAATTTCATTTCGTATATTCCGCATTTAGGTGGACATTAAATGAGCGTCCGGCACACGCCCAATCTTATAAATAAATTTTCATGATTGATATTTTGTAGTTCATGTGCTGGCAAAGTGTAACACCTTTTTCGAATTTATGTACCTAACGGCTATCGTAGCATGATGCCAGGGCACGCCAACAAACCGAGGCTAACTGACTATTTCCAAACCGCTCATTTCATTACAAGCTTAATTTTCACGCATCCTTTATACATAAAATCAAAGCAAAAATCCACTTACATATGACATCAAATAAACAGACAATATTTGGAATAAAGCTTGATCTCACTTGTGTTGTGAGCTGGCCGTTTCTCATCTTGTAATTACGAAACTTAGATATTGCCAAAAATTTTGTCTCGTTAACTCTGTAAATGTGGCTCAAGTTAAGGGACCAACTACTACTTGGGTTGATCAATTGCTGCTGTCTTCAACTAGTTGAGATTATGCAGCAAGCTAACACGTATCATTCAATTGCTTGAAATAAGAAGGTAAATAAAATGTGTTTAAGGTCGATTGGATAAGAATGTACTCTTGCACATACGACTTCAGATCCAATTTTTAATCAAAAAAGGACATAAATTCCTTATTAGAATGATTTCATATTAATTCCCGATAATTAGATTTCGTTGTATCTAAAGGCACTGTGCTCGGTGATGCGCCTGTGGCCTATCAAATTATAAATTCAGCTTAGCTACCAAGCGTTTTCGAAACGCTGCGTCATGCAGCCCCTATTCTTCCACTATTCATAGGGCTGGATCAGAGGTGGAGGAAATCGCCCTTCGGTTTAGAAGTGTCTGGATTTGATGCTATTGAAGGTCACCTATTGCATCACAAAAACATGTTCTTATTCAGGCAAGGCAGAATGCTGACATGACCCACCTGCATTCTCAATCGAATCTCATATGCGAATGTAAGAATAAAGAGGTGTTAATAGATAAATTGGAATACAAGAGGATAATAGGAGGGATAATTCATTGATTATTTTAACAAATGAATTTCCCTATTATCAATCTGTTTTACCATAGAAGGACTACACTTAATTGGGTTTAATTGAGCATTTTAACTTAAAAAATTCAACCTCCTCTTCTGGAACGTTGCTTAACTTCTAATTAGGCTTCAAAGCGTTTCATGTCAAGGAACATTATCTAGGTGACTATTGTTACGTGATAAAATATCTTTGCCATACCATTACTTGGATGGCCAAGCTGACTTAGACTTTGAGAGCCTGTTCTTCTTGGCCTATGATCGATTTATATATAACCCAGCTCTGATGGTGTCTGTTATACTGCAGGCGAACCTTCAGCCCAGAGAAGGTTGCTCTGAGGACTGCTTTATGCTGAACGCTTAAGTAACATGAAAAGCAAAGCAAATCAAGGGAATTCTGCCATCTTATTCTGGTAAGATCGACCTTCAAATCCCTCGATTACACATTTTCACATGAAACAGAAGCCAGCCCATGAATGATTACACAAGATTAGTTAATATATTTACCCGTTCTATTCTACCCCTAAGCTGTTGACCTATCTATCTACTCGATCTCTAATGTGCTCTACAGATTGTAACTTTATTAGCCACCTCATAATATTTTCGTCTATGATTTCCTTCTTGATCACTTTACCTCTAGTATAGATTTTTTAGTAAAGATTCAGAGGCGTGCTCCATTAAAGGAAAATTCCAGCTTGCCAGCACTTTCTTTTTACTTGCAGATACGGTTTTATTAAGAGCGGATTAACACTTACTTATTTTACTGCATCTGGCTGGCATTTTCTACTTAGTCTCCATTATGCCTCAGTTTATTCATTTTCCTGGCTAAATCCAAACTTTTTTCTTCTAGTGATCTTAATTAAACTATCCTCCCCCTCTTAAGTTGTTTGATCCACGGGTTTCACGTATCACAGGTTAAGTCTTGAAGTCTTTTCTCCAATAATGAATAGATCGATCCTTTTCTCAGATAGGTTCTTTTGTATCTTACTTAATTTTCTCTGATTTTATATGAATACTGGATACCCCACTCAGATTATCACTTAATACCATTTTTATCGGTCAGTAATATCATAGCTTGCCAGCGACAATTTGCAGCCTATACTAATTTTTGCTGCTGATCTACACCTTATGGGAAAATTTTAATGTTGTTTCTCGCGTTATTGATTCATGCACACTCATAATGAGCAAAAGTATGAGGTTACTCAGTCTTAATAAAGTATTGAAATTATTTTTATTGGTTTGAACCAGCTATCAGATATGCATTTGCTATGAGGTATTTTGAGACTTCATTGATTCATGTACTTACTAATAGCAGCGATTTTACCTACGCATTCATAAATATGCTTCTGATCTGTTTTATATTTATCCACTTAGCACGTAGCACCTTTACTTTGAATGGGGCTGGCGAAGACTCTGTGCCTATTGCTCCAGGACCAAAGTTCTCAACAACAAGCTTCTTTTTCAGCAATTTACTCTCTGGCCTCGGTGGCCTTGGTGGCCTCAGTGGCAGCAGCAATCTTTTGAACTCAAACTTCGGCTTGACTGGTCAGGACTTCTTTCAAATCGCCTGGGAGCATCATGTGGCCCGCCTTAAAGACGACTTACTTACATCGCCCCCAGTATTAACAATCACATCTACAACTGCGGCACATGACGATTCAGCCCACATATTGCCCTCCCATCCCCACCACCAAGCAGCTTCGCCGCAAACATTAAATGCCAT